ACCCTGGCCCTTTAATTTTGCCTGTCGTTATTACAGCAAGTGTCTGAACCCTGGATATAGGGCCCCATCCCTTAAACAAGAAAATTTCTCAGTTTTTTGGTACTTGTTTTCCCATTATGTAACTATTTATTGCCTGTAACACTCTTCTGTGTTCTTGTCAACTCCATTCTTGTATGTTGGTGATAAAGTTAAATTTCTAGGAGCTTCAACTCTTGTTTTTAAAACTAGAAAGAAGCCTTCTGTGACATTTTAGTTCTCATATTCTTCTGTATTATATAAATTCAAAAGCTAGAGTGTCAAATTAAAGTGCTTGCACACTATTAGCATACATAAGGTACAGCATCATCCAGATCTACTCTATCCAGGTTACTTTCTCATTCTTTATGGCTGAGTAGTATTCCATTTTGTAGAAAAACCACATCTTTATCCAGTTTCCAATTGATGGGCAGATGGGCTGTTTCCAAGTTTTAGCTATTACAAACTGTGCCACAATAAACATGGGTGCGCATACATCACTATGATATGATTCTTTTAGTTCTTGGAAAGATACCCAGGAGAGGGATGGCTGGGTCAAATGGAACCTCTAGTCCCAGCTCTTTGAGGTATCTCCATATTGATTTCCATAGTGGTTGCACCAATCTGCACTCCCACCAACAATGGAGAAGGGTTCCTTTCTCCCCACAACCACGCCAACTTTTGTTATTGTGTGATTTCTTGATAGGAGCCATTCTTTGTGGGGTGAGGTGGAATCTCAGTGTTGTTTTCATCTGCATCTCTCGAATGACCAGTGATGTGGAGCATTTTTTCATATTAAATCTTTGATTTTTAATTTAGCAAAAACTTACATGTAGTGAAATGTAAAATTTCTAGATTTACCGCTTAATACATTTAACAAAGTAGTTATTATACTTGTGTAACCCAGACACTCTTTTGGAATATTGAACATTTCCTTCATCCCAGTTTATTCATGTTCCTTCCCAGTTTATTCCCATCACCTCTAGCCATAGTAGTGATCACTGTTGTCATTTTCTCCCACAGTATACTGGTTTTGCTTTTTCTGAAATTTTTGTTTCTGATTGTACAGTTTTTATTAAATAGATATTTTGCAGATTTTTTCATTTTTCATTTTATCGATACAATTTCGATTTATATAATAATCACATTCATCATAGGGAGTTTGTACCTTTATATGATGTATCTTGATTCCTTTTTCCATATTCCTCCCCTCCCTTCAACCCCCTATTCCCGTTCCTTATTTACAAAACCTGTTTCCATTTTTTCCCTTCTTTTCTCACTCCCTTTTCCTTCCTTCCTTCCTTTCTCCTTCTCCCCTCTCTAGTTCCCCCTTCCTTTTGGTTTGTTTGTTTGTTTTTTGTACCGGGGATTGAACTTGGGTCCTTGCGCTTGCAAGGCAGGCCACCGAACCACTGAACTAAATCCCCGGCCCTCCCCCTTCCTTTTGGAAGATTTTTCTTATTTCACACTGTCCACTATGCTTTTCGGTTCTTACTTACATTTTCAGTTCCTTACATCAAACAATGAGATATTTACACGTGTGTCTGATTTATTTCTAGTAAGTATAGTTTCAAAGTATATCCATTTAAATATGAATGTCTCAATTTGGAACCAGAAGAGACCTAGAATAGCAAAGGCAATTCTGGGCAACAAAGGCAAGGTGAGGGACATTACAGTCCATGACCTGAAACTACTATAGAGCTACTGTGATTAAAAAAAAGCACAGTACTGGTAAAAAACATACCTGAAGATCAGTGGAACAGACTAGAAGACAGAAACAAACCCAGACACACTCAGACCCTTATCTTTGACAGAGGGGCCAAACACGTCCACTGGAAGAAGAGCCTCTTTAATAAGTGGTGCTGGATAAACTGGCTTTGTATATGTCAGAGACTAAAACTAGACCCATGTCTCTCACTATGCACTAAAGTAAAATAAAAATGGATCAGAGGTCTAAATATAAAAACAAAGATTCAATCTGCTGGAAGAGAATAAGTTAGTTAAACTGTTTTTTTTTTTTTTTGGTACCAGGGATCAAACTCAGGCCCTTGCGCTTGTAAAGCAGGTGCTGGAACCACTGAGCTAAATCTCCAGCCCAAAAAAATATGGAACGCTTCATGAATTTGCGTGTCATCCTTGCGCAGGGGCCATGCTAATCTTCTCTGTATCATTCCAATTTTAGTATATGTGCTGCCGAAGCAAGCACCTGAGTTAAAGTTTTGAGGACACGGGGAGGGAAAGACTTCGTGAACAAAACCCAGACTGTGGGAAATAATAGAAAGAGTCTACAACTGGGATCTCACCCTATTAAAAGGCTTTTGCTCTGCAAAAGAAATCACCAAAAGAGTGAAGAAACAACCCACAGAGTGGGAAAATAATTCTAGCCAGCAGTCCTTCAGACAAAGGACTAAATCTAGAACATGAAGAATTGAGAAACATCAGACCCCTGCCCAGATTTAAAGACCCAGTCCAAAAGTGGGCACCTGAAATGAATAGAAACTTCTCAGATGAAGAAGTACAAATGGCAAATATATAAAAAAGTTTTCTGGAATTTGACATATATACCGTTACTTAGTATTATTTGTTTCTGGCTATTTTGAATAAAGCTACTGTGAACATTTTTGTAGAAAGAAGTCTTTTTGTAAATATGTTTATTTTTCTTAAGAGGATTAGCCACTATTTAGTCCAATTATTTAAATACGAGATTACCAAAAACTGCATATTTTTCCATTAATTTTTATAAAATAATAGAAAATATAAAGACAGTTTTGTCCCATTTGTTCAGTACAAGAATCAGCTGGTTGAAATGACACCTGCCAGAGCAACATCTGCTGCCTAGGGTAAACTGTTAATTGGTAAAGGGTAAGTTTTATGGAATTTTATATTCCTGTCAACAATATGTGAACATTTTCATTACTCTGCATCCTTACCAGCATCTGTCATCTTTTTTTTGGTACCAGGGATCGAACTCAGGCCTATGCGCTGCTGTCATCTTTTTTAACATTGTAATTCTTATATGATGAGACCATATTACAGTTTTAATTTGCATTTCCCTGATGACTAAGAATTTTGAATTCTTTTTTATATGATTATATTGGCTGTTTGTATATCTTCCTTTATGAAGTGTTCAGATCTTTCCTCCCTTAAAAAATTGGTTTGTGTTATCATTGAGTTGTAAGAGGTCTTACAAATTCTGAATGCAAGAGCTTTGTCAGGTACATATGTAAGTATTTTCTCCCATTGTGACTTCCCTGTGTGTGTGTGTATACATATACATACACATTTTTTTTTTTTTTTTTTTTTTTTGGTACTGGAGATCAAACTCAGGTCCTTGTACTTGTGAGGCAGGTGGTAGAACCACTGAGCTAAATCTCTGGCCCTCCCTATATGTGTTTTCTAGTACTATGAATTGAACTCAGGACCTTTTACCTGCCATGCAGGTTCAGTGCCACTGAGCTACATCCCCTGCCCACTTCCCGATTTTCTTAGCAGTGTCTTTTGATCAGCAATTGTTGCTAATTTTATGATGTCTGAATTCATCTTTTTCCCTTATTATTTTTACTGTTCTTTGTATTCTAAGAAACCATTGCCTAACCTTAGGCTTCAAAATACTATCCTTTGCTTTTAGAAGATTTATAATGATGCTTTTGTGTTTTTTCTATTTAAGTTTGTATTTAATCCATAGATTATTTAAAGAGGGATGTCTTTCCTTTTTTTTTTTTTTATTGTACTGGGGATCGAACTAGGACCTTGTGATCGTGAGGCAGGCGGCAGCACCACTGAGCTAAACTCCCGGCCCTCCACTTCTTTATGAATCTGTGTTTATATTTGATATTATTTCACTTCAGCCTGAAGAACTTGTAAAACAGGCTTTATGGCAATAGCTTCTTAGTTTTATCTGGAAAAAAAAGAAAAATGAAATTGTTTTTATTTTGCCTTTTATGTGATCATCTTTATTAGGTGTGATCTGAGTACAATAAACTGCATCCATTTGAAGTATTCAGATTTTAGTTGGTAGTGAATTTATCTGGCCTCTGTGGAGGGCAGCAGTTGAAATTCTAGTTTGGTTTGGTCACATGGTGTGTGCTTACATCCGTATAATTTATAAGCCAAGGGGGATTTGGTAGTTTACATGCAGACTTTTGAGACACCTCTTCTGTGGCTCTTTATTTTTGCATCATTTAGTTGTTGCTGAGGTCAGTCAAGACTCCTCCTCTGATTCTTTAACAGGTTTACAGTTTTCTCAGAAGAAGACTTGTACAGTGGCACAAATTCATAAAGAGATCAGGAAGCTCACTGGGTGCTCTCCCTTTCTGCCAAGTGTCCTCAATTGTCCTTTCCCATTTTAGTTTCTCCTTGCCTTTGGTTGCTATCCAGATTTTACATTTAAAAAAATATATATACCATTTACAAGAGTTTATAATTGTCTGTCAGAACATTGGTTGGCTATAAGCTATTCTAACAACTGGCAGAAGTGGAATTTTTTTCTCAGTCATGGAGCGCTGCAATGTTTTTGCTCTAGTGGGTTAAAACCAGTGTGGCCCACCATGTATGGAGTCTGATGGTTAAGTGCTTGTTTCACTTGCCAGGAGTGTATACTATTTAACTTTTTCTTGTTGTTTCTGGTACTAGGGATCAAATCGAAGACCTTGTGCTTCCAGCCAGGCATGATGCCACTAAGCTAAATCCCCGGCCCTAATTTATATGTTTTATATTAATACCATAAATAAGTATGGTAAAGAGAAACATTTTCTCTGTCATTTGTTATCAGAAAATTGGTGCTAAGAATAGCTTCTCAGTTACGTAGCAGTTGGTGGCACAGCTGGGTTCACATTTTCTTAAGAGACCACATTTTTAATACTGTACGGTGCTACTACCTTCTTCCCATTCTAAATTTGCCTGTAGCTATCATTTCTACCTGAAAATAAGATAAAAGAAAGACATGAAAAATGGAAAATACCATTATAAACCCTATTGTGTTATAGGAAATGGACATACCAGTATTACCGAAAATATCTCTACCAATCTCCAGTTCTTCACTGCCTACCTTCAATTTTAGTTCCCCTGAGATCACAACTTCCTGTCCATCATCCTTCAGTCCTTCCCAATCATTAACAAACAAGGTATTGAATCATTGTGTAAATGAGGTGATTTTTGTTCTTATTCTTTCCTCTAAAAAAAAAAAAAAACTAATGTTTTTTAAAAGCAGTGATTAATAATGCATAGTAGGGAGAGAGAAATGAAAAGGGTATTTTACTCTTAAAAAATGGGAAAGCGGTAGGGGAAAGGAAAGAAGAAGGGAAAGGAAAAAATAAGACAACGGAAACAAAATCTTTGTAAATAGGTAGGGGTGGCAGGGGTTAAAGAGAGGGCAAGGGAATGGGAAAAAATAAGAACCAAGATAAATCATTTAAAGGTACAAATTCCCAATGATGAATGTCATCATGTGATACACCTAAAAATATACCAATAAGCTTAGTGAATTTAAAAAAAAGTATAGCTGTCTTACATACATTATTGTGGAAACATTACTTAACCTTTATGTAATACATGAGAAAAAAATTGCAAGTTTCCAAACTATTTCACGTAAGATACTTTTTTGGGGGGGTAGGAATTGGTACAAATTTTTTTACTTTTCAGGTAGGATTAATATCTTGAATCTGCTCCTGAGACATATTTTTGTCCTTTAGATAAATATCTACCTCTAAGGTTGTATGTTCTTCCAAGAGGCAGCCAAATTTTATAGCAGTTACTATTCTCTTTCTCTCTTTTTTTTTTTTTTTTTTTGAAAAAAGAGCCTCTCTTTTCTGGTGTGCTCAC